GCCAACTGATGGATCTTTCTTTTTGAGATCATCTATGCAAAGCAGATATTTAAATAGTAAGATGATAAGCAAAGCCAATTATTTTAAGAAAAGAAGAGAATATACAATACTAAAAAGTCTCATCCTCTCCTCCACAAACTTTGCCTCAGCAATGTCATGGCAGTATATTTCTAAATTGGAAAAGGAAAGCAATGCCTCTTTCATCTCCTTTTCTGCATCGGTTACAAATAAGGAACATAGTAATTTCTAGCTTTCTAAATAAAGTAATCTGAGGACCGAAATTGACTCCTCCGTTCAAAACAGACTGTCGGGGCCGAAGAAGAAAAAGAAGAAATAATGCATAATTCATTATGGGCAAGAAGGGAGAGAGGGAAAACCAAGAAATTGCGCTCTTTGAAAATCTTCCAAATATCGATATAAACATGGAAGATCTTGTTTCTAAAACGGAGAATAGAAACAATTCCACTTCCTTTGCCTTTAGAAAGTGGTTTAACTTCAAAAAGATGAAAGAAGAGATTTATAGAAGTCGAGTCCATTTTTCCCTGATACTTATATCAGTATTAGAAAACCCCCGCAAAAGCCCAAGCACAGGGATGAAGTTGCAACAGAGGAATGCAAAAATGATCTAATACCCTCTTTTTTAAAGTACTGAGGGGAAGTCGTATACCTAACTTCTCGAAGATGCAAGAATAAAAGGGAATGGAGCACCCCTCGAACGTATGACATACCCTATTATCTGCAGGGACCACCATAATTATCCAGTCCAAAGGAGATCCGACTTCAAAGGGAACCTTTATTTCCCCATCCTTTTCAACATGCTCTAAAGGGATCTTTAAATACCAAAGATTTACCCATGAATAATCTTTTGCATTACTTACAACCATATCAATTATATCTTCACCGTTGCATATGAGTAGATCTGATGAGATAGTGGTGCCAAGTTGGGAGAAAAAGACAAACCATGTAAACGACAAAAAAGAACTGTAAAATTTAATGACATGCCTGGACAAAAGGAAGGATAATCGTGGAACAAACTGTTAGATTAAACAAAGGAGGCGATATTCAATGATGCAAAAAAACAATCACAAATGAGTCAAATGAAGACCAGGGGACAAAACCAAAAGTTTATAGGAAATCAAATCAAACATTGATGGCCCAAATTAAAATAGAATATCAATCCAAGGACAATCGACATGCCGCTCAATGACAAAAACACTCAAGTGTCCTAAATAGATAAATCATTCCATATATTAGATCATCAGACTAACGTGATGGCAGCAGGTATTTAAACGTTTTTAAGACAATAAAGCATTTAACTCTCTTGTTTCCCACTACTTTCTTAACAAATTATGGGGTATTTCAATTTCATTTCATACTGGATCCGTCTTAAAGGCCGGCTTGAATTACTTAAGGCTTCGTTCGGCTCCTCTAGTATCCAACAAAGCCTTGGAGGCAACTGTTCTAGACCAACTATAAGACCCAATTGACCAAGGCCCAATCCATCTCAAACTCACTCTACTTGGTCCTATAAAAACAGTTAACACATTATGAGAATGTACACAATCTCTGATATACAATTTTACTTTAATCATCTTGAATCTTAACTGACTTGGGCGTTGGGATGCTAACTATGCAGGTCCACCTCACACCACCGTAAAGGAGATCAGAGTCATTGTTCAAGATCAATAGTTATCCAACTCTCATCATTTCTGGTTCCTTCACAGAGTTATAGCATATATCTCTGGTTCTCGAACAGAACAAAAAGTAAGGATCAAAAAGATTTTTTAAAATGAGAAAAATCATTGTCAAAAAAATGGTGGAAGAAGCTGAAATTCTATCTTGAAGATAACTGTCTCAAATCAAGTCGGATTGAAGATAATATCACTTAATGGTTTTCACACCTGTGTGCAAGCGTTCAATTTGATCGTTGGTTGCTCAACCAATCTGTTGAACTTGGTCAGAGGTTGAGGTATTGTTTTGAAGGCTTCCGATTAGGGGTGAGAATAGGCCAGACCAACTAACAGGGGCCTACGGCCTAGCCTACATAGGGTCAGGCCAGACCAGGCTTTTTCTTAAATAGAAAAGGTCTAGGCTTTTCTATAAGCCTATTTAGCTAAAGAGGCTAAGCCACATGGCATAAGAAAAGCCTTTTAAGCCTATCAGGCTGACCTATTTATAAAAAATTCAATAAATTTATTATTATTATATTGTATTTTGTACTTTGAATTAAAATACGAAAATAAAGCTTAGTTATTTTGAACAACTTATGAAAATTCACAAGTTGTTGTCATAAGTTATTTTTTTATAAGTTCTCTACAACAAATAGTATCATCAAACTTATGTTAATAGGTAAACTTGAACGAGACAATGAAAACAAAAATTTAGTCTCAATGATCTTTTAATTTGTTAGTCTATTTAACATTAATTGAATTTCTTATTTACAAACGTTCAAATGAAGTAAGCTTTTAAATAGGCTAGTAGGTCAATCAGACCTTCGAAAAAGCCAGGTTTAGGCCTAAAAATAAGCCTATGATAGGTTGCAGGTCAGACTTAGGCTTTAAATTTTTTAGCAGGTCAGACTCAGACTTAGCAAAACCTAACTCGGCCCTACCTATTTCCACCCCTACTTCGGATTGCATGTAATTTGTTCAGATTCATCTAGTTGTTGATGTTTAGATGCTGAGGTGAGGGCACACTGTTTTTGCTGCATGCTATGTTGGTGTAGCCATCTGTTACGATTTGGATAGTCAGACAGTTGTTGCCATGGTACACCTCAGCATTTCTAGAGTCTGGTTTTCGTGCAATGCAGAATTTCTAGAGTCTGTTGTATGGTTGTAATCGGGTACAGTCCATGGAGGGTTGGTATTCCAATGTGATACCAGATTTTATATGTAAGCAGTGAATTGGAGTTGTGCAACTATTGAGTTCTAATTGCTTTTAGTCTAATTGCTTTTATTTATATGTATTTGTTGCTTGCAAAAAAAAGAGTATTCTTTTCAATCCAGATTGATAATTGGATAATCGGTGGTAACTCAATAGAAAATATGAATTAGTATGAATAGAATATCACACGAAGTAGAATCTTTCTTCTCAATATGCTGTACTTTTTTTTATCGACTCGCCGGAATTTTGAGCTCATTCCACTAAAATTTTGTTTGAGAGTTTAAAGAGAAAGAGATGGGAAGATTTTGGAATTAAAAAAAATGTATTGGACAGAGAATTTTGATAAAAGCTTTTTATTCTATACAAAATCGTTTTTTCAAAAATTGTTTAAAATATTCATATTTATCTTTCAAATTTCCTTTCCCAAAAGCCACAATTCTCCTCCTCCTAACTCGCAACCGGGGCCACCTGACTTTGCCATACTTGAACCACCCCCACCCACCCTGAACCAAGGTTGAACAAGGTTTAAAGTAAGTTTTTTCCAGACAAAATAGTTTAGTATTTATTTCTCAATTTATTTATATTATTAAATTTGTGATGGTGAGAAAATCCACTCCCATTCACATGCCTTTTTCACTCCCACCCAAATGAAGACTTTTAATCTTTTCTCAGTGGCTTCTTTATTGGTAAAATTGTAATATCCAAATATTTCATCTCTTGTTATGCTAAATGTGACTGACTTTGTCTAAATATACAAAAGAGATAATAGTCCAAAGAATAAACAGCTAATGCCTAATTCAGCCATTGGTGAAAATAAGAAAACTCATGGAAATTATGCTCTTCAATAAGCCAGTAACATTATGCATACAAAAAAACAATAATATTCATACATTGCATTTAAAAACAAAAACATGTTTAGCTTTCTATTCTATATACTAATTGGGCATTTTAAGCTTCAATAAGTAATTCTCAAGGCCAGGAAGAACATGCAATTTGCAGGTCATTAACCTGGCAGAGACAGCCAAAATACTTCAGGTTGTCAAATTGCCGGAAGTGAAATGGAAACAGAGCTATAAGTTTTGATTTGCATATGAAATCTATCAAATTTTACTGGTATCTGTTTGAAGCAAAAACTAAAAACCAGTCATTAACACACTGATTGGATCACCTACCCTAACATGTTTACCTGTGTGATATGTTAAACTGAACATCCCTTTTCGTATAGATTCATAAATATGAATATCATTTATCATTTATTTTTGTAAAAGCAAAATAACTTGCCGACTATATGGAGACCTGCATATACAAATGTATTCTAATATAACAAAAATTCATAATACACAGGCTGTTTGGCATGAGATATTTTTGAGTTTATAGGTTATAGCTTATAAGTTCATACGACAAAAAAGACATGTTTGACAATGGTGTTTTCATCATGAGCTTATAGCTTACTTTCTAGGCGCTTTTTCAAATAGCATTTTAGTTAATACCTTATAATTTTTCCTTCCATATTTATTCTTATTATTTTAACTAAAACTCACTCTCACTTTTACCCTTTATGCATTAAATGTCTCTTATGTCATTTTACGGCTATCCGTCATCAACCATCACTATAAACTAAGTTATAAGTCTTCGGTCATCAGCCATAAAATATAAGCTATAAGCTAACTTATTAGTCAACCGCTATTTTTACCAAACACTTATGTCAAAATAGATTACATGCACGTTCGTTTGTGGGTGTGTTTGGTTAGACGTCCAACACACTTAGAACGTGTTGTCAAAACAAACACATGCTAGACCACATTGGCATGCATGTAACCCTTTCCAATGTGAATTTCATGATGGAAGATTTCTGTTTTCCAGTAATAACTGTAAATTTTCATCAATCAGTTACAAAATATAAAGATAAAAGTAGAAAGTTGATTAGAGACAAAATTGCAAGAGAGTGACAGCCACTACAATGAGATTAGCTATACCTAATATACATCTCACACCCTCGTAGTCAAATAGCTCAAAACAAAAAAGAATACAGAAACAGAGCCTCAACAAATCTGTCATCTATCAATTTAAATGCATCGGCATCGGCATTACGTTAAATAAGACCTCACAAACCTACCTTATTTATCAAGCTCCATTGCCTGTGCGGCTTTAGCTTTAGACAGAGCCGATAACTTGGTCTTCAGTTTCTTCTTTCCCACCTGAAACCCACTTCCGCCCTTCTTTTTCCTGTCACTACCATCAACCTAAACAAATATTCCCAACAAAACCATACAATTATTAATCTTTCAAATACACACATTAAAAGACCATTTGCAGCCTCAAAAATAGTCGTGACAAAACGGTATTGGCAGATGTCAGTCCCTATATCACCGTTTTTATATTAAAAAACAAATTGTGATTAATTCGCACAGTGTTGCAACACATGTACCAACCGAAATTGCGAAAACCTTTTTGCGACCGCGACCCTTATTTAAAACCTTGCACACACATACAATCCAACCTCTCTAATCTCTACTTTAGGCTTTCCTTAAAAACTTCGAATCTAATACTCAGATTTTATTGCACAAAAATAAACACTTTACATGTACCAACATCACGTATTTGTTCAAATATCAATTTACTGCAGATAAAAAAGTAAGTAAAAATCAAAGCAGAAAAATGAATTTGAGGAATCAAAAGGAAGCACTCACTTTCATCTTGTTTTTCTTCGCCTGAAGCTTCTTATCTTTCTTCTCCTTCTCGAGTTTTTCTCCTGAAAGAAATTGTCACAACTGTGAAACCAGAACATGAAAAATCGAAGAGTGAGTTTGAAAAATTGGGGAAAATCGAAAGCGAGAGAGTACTTCGGAGTTCGAATTCGTGCTGCCTCTTTCTCTTTGCGAGATTGTTCTTCTTCGACATTTTTCCTTCGTGTATTGCAGAATCTCAAAGACGCAGTTGTTTTCACAAAACCCTAATTCATACAAATTTGGGAAAGACCTAACTCATATACGAAGTTCGGTTATTTAGCATTTGGTCCTTCAACTTTGCCGGTTTTTGGTGTTTTACTCGTTGTTTTTTCTTTTATTCTTAGACCTTAGAAGAGAAATTATATTTACTATTTTATAATTAAAAAAGTTTGAAAATATGTTGAAAAATCTTTAAAAAGAAAAAAAATCTTATCTATGACTTATATAAAAGTAAAACATAGTATTTTTGTGTAATCTATTTTCCTATCAATTTTACTCTTATTTTAATATATAACTTATTTAATAACTTCCATTAATTTTTTATCTAACTTTTTACTATTAACTTTGTATTTAACTTCCATTTAAAATTAACATTAGATAAAAAATATTATTTGAATTTTTACGTGTGTCTTAAAAAAATAGACAAACGAGCACGCGAGTGTACGTCTGGACGATAGTTCTTTATAAAAAACATAATTATTATTTTTTATTTTTCACCTACACATTTCTTCTTCATGAAAAAAATGGTTTATTTATAATTGAATTTAATTGATATATATATATATATATATATATATATATATATATATATATATATATATATATATATATATATATATATATATATATATATATATATATATATATATATATATATATATATATATATATATATATATATATATATATATATATATATATATATATATATATCGCGTGCCCGTCTGGACGGTAGTTCTTTATAAAAAAACATAATTATTATTTTTTATTTTTCACCTACACATTTCTTCTTCAGGAAAAAAAATGGTTTATTTATAATTGAATTTAATTGATATATATATATATATATATATATATATATATATATATATATATATATATATATATATATATATATATATATATATATATATATATATATATATATATATATATATATATATATATATATATATATATATATATATATATATATATATATATATATATATATATATATATATATATATATATATATATATATATATATATATATATATATATATATATATATATATATATATATATATATATATATATATATATATATATATATTGACACTGTAAAGATTTTTTACACTATCAATTAATAACAATCGCTGATATATTTAAAAAATTTAATTTTTATTTTAACTATTTAAAAGATTTTTTACACTATCAATTAATAACAATCGAATGATTATTGAAATAGGAGTGTATAATTTTTATACACTCCTATTTTATATTGCATATAATTCTAGTTTATATATTTTTAAAATCTATACTGATTTTTTTGTATAATATGGATGTTTTTTAATATGTTTCTTTCAAAAAAATTTACAATCCAATATAATTTTGTTTTAAATAAATTATAAATTTTTTTAATAAAAACTTTAAATGAAAAATTAGTTTGAACAATTATTCTAAAAATGTTATTTTAAATATTTCACCATTTTATTTTAACTTTTTTATATTAAAATTTAAAAAAATTTAAAAAAATTATTTACTATTTCAAATAGTTTTTTATAAAAAAAATATTTTTTATATATATTATTTTTAAAAATATATAATTTTGATTATATTTTAGTCTTCAATAATATATATTTGTGTTACTAAATGTTAAAATTAGTCTTTAAAAATCATTTCTAAAAATACAAAAAATAGTATTTATCTAACAAAGCAGTAGTACATTCTTATAAAAATGTATTAAATCATTCATTTTTATCATTGTTATTTATAAAAATGCTACATTCATTCAATTTTTATAAATAAAAATACTTATTAACTATTTTTATCATTGTTATTTATAATTGATATTAAAAACTTTGCGTTGTCGTCTTCCACTGTTCTTCTCCATTTGTATAATTCATTAACCTCAACCATATAATCAAAATCTACATTTTTTTTGTTTTATTACCTCTACAACAATCTCAAACTTCACATATATTTCAGTATGGACTAAAAGCTCAATTTGAGATCCACTTCAATACCAAATTCTTTAAGATTGGATGTTTATGTCACACAAATGACATCATGTTTTTTAGAATTGTTATAAAAAATAAGGTTATATCATTGCAAAACATAAAATGGACAAGTCATAGAATGACACCTAATCAAAAGAGTGTAACGGTATGAATCTACTATGAATAATCTCTTGACATGTATTTTTTCTTTCAACTATTAAGAGTAGAAGGTTTTGGATCATTCAAGCTCTTACCTCTATTATTAAAGCTAATAAATAGATCGGTACACATTATTCTAATCATAAATATTTCACTTTTGATTGTCACTAATTTGGATGTCAAAGTGTTTGCATGTAACTTGTTATCATCATACCAGAGTATTAATATACAAAGTATATACTAGAGTTCAGCGTTAGACATAGGTTCACCCCTTATTTCATTAACCACGTCGGTCTTTGCAAAGTCATTAGAGTTTCCTGTGTAAATTGATCTTCAATGTTTCTATTACAATTAAGATCCATAACAATGAACAAGGAAAAAGAAACTACATTGTTAGAGGTTACCATACACGTTAATCTATAGTTATGGAGATCGTCAATATCACCCACAGACTTGGGGAATGACTCACTGCATCTTAGTTACACTAAAGGATATCAGTTACCCCTGCCTTCACCATCGAAGATCACAAATTTCCATCATCTCCTTTTTAAATTGAAGGTGTCTCTCCACCACTGAATTCTTTATCACTCAACAAGTTCTGTTGCCAACTCCAAATTCGCAAGGAGACAATAACACACTACCATCGTCAGTCACGTTGACCTTGTTAGTTGTCGTACAAATAAAATTGATGGACCTAAAATTACATAATGAAAGACTTTGTAGGATCAAAATAATCGACGATGAGACAGTAACATTCTACGAAGAGGATTAAGCGAAACCGTCTTGTTAGCACAAACTACAAGGTCATCGAAGGTGCACAATGCGCTCTTCAATGCTCTAAAAGCGCTCATTGTCTATATCTAGATCATATGGGTACCACTGCCATCACCATCGACACCACAAGAATTCATCACCTTCATCCATTTCTACAAAACTGTAGAAGGCAAAGTTACTCCTAACAAAAATGTTTTCATCGAGGAAGATAAATGAGTACCCTATTTGTGGCGAGTTCAAGAAACCCATTAGGATGGGGGCATATGACGGAACAACATACTCATACAAATATGTGGAAGTCTTATAGGTCCTTGTCAATTTTTCGAGAGCAAGCAACATCGAAAAATACAAGTTATTTGTCCTTAAATTGAAGGGGAGAACCATTGTGTAGTTTTGTGGGTTGAAGGTTCAATCCATTTACTCCAAGAACAAACTTCACACACAATTTACCTCTCACTTTATCGCATTAAGGAAGTAGACAAAGTCATTGGGGAGCTTAAGTTTGATTAAAAATGATAATAATGAACCTCTGTAATCATACATCGAGTGGTTTAATGAGGAGGTTGTCTTGGTGAAAGGTGTGGACACCGAGATAAATAGATGCTTGTTGAGCCTTTAACTTTAAGATATATCCTAGTTTGTTGAGATATTTAGGATGAAAGCACCAAAAACATCAATAGGTTTCTCATAAGGGCATAGTAGTACATATTATACTAAGAAAGTTGATTGCAAGTAAAGCCATTTATTAGGGAGGTACACATAGGTTTGGAGGAAGCAAAAGGCCAACTGATGAAGTCAATGAAGGAATTGAGAGAATAACCAATAAAGATAAGTAAAGGATCGCCACTTGGCCAAGAGAGTAGAAGGTGTGGACCACCACTCCAAATACAGATATTACACACTATTAAATACATCCAAAGAGCGCATTCTGCAAGAATGCATCAACTCGAAGTTTTGCAAAGAAGTGGAAATTCTAAAAAATGTCCAAGTATGTTCGACCTTGATAGAACCCGATATTGTCATTTTCAGAGAAGTAACGAACATAACATTAAGTATTTCATCTCATTGAAAAAACGACAGAGGATTTAATTTGACAAGAAAATTTGTCGAGGTTTGCTCATCAAGAATTGCATCGTTGTCGAGGAAATTTCATCTAATGCACCACAATTTTTAAGACCATCAAAATGGTGTGTTGTCAGGAATTGTTGATCACTTCAACATGGAAATATATAAGATTATACTTGTTTTTTTTATTATTAAAAAATATATTTTCATACCAAATTTAATCTTTATTATAATAAAACTAACAATTTCTTATAGCAAACCCTGAAAACTCTTTTTCTCTCTTTAACCTATTTAATGATGACACGCCATCATGACCTTTTTACATGTCTCTTTGTTTTATTGAATATTTTTGCCATATATTTTTTATTTATTAAATCTTTAAATGGTTACTATTACTACTGTTGACAGAAAGAAGAAAAAAAACAACTATTATAATTTTACTTATTAATAATAATGATGACAGCGGTGTCATAATTCATATGGTCTATATATATATATATATATATATATATATATATATATATATATATATATATATATATATATATATATATATATATATATATATATATATATATATATATATATATATATATATATATATATATATATATAGGTGTATAATGTACTTTTATAGATGACATGATTTTGTTTGAGATAAATACTAGCAATAAATGATTCCCAATGCCTCTTTATATAAATCAATATTTTGCTACACACTTATCACTGCTTCTCCATCACCTACATATTTTAACAAACAAACATAAACTATTTGAAGATATCCAATGGCTTCAAGCAACCCTTTTGAAAAAAAATAGAAAATTTCTCCAATAGAAAGTTAACGAAAAGTTTCTCGATGTGAAAGTTGCAAATACTATTGACGATGAGCAAAACACTCGGATGAAAATTTTGCTTGCAAGAATGCAAACATATCATATGGAGTTTATGACATAAAGTTTGGTGCTTGTGTTAC